CCCCCCGCCTCGGGTGGCCGCGAGCCGAGGCCCGAACCCCTTTCACGGAGGGTACCTTACTCATTCTCGTGTTTACACGGGACGGACGGAATAACGCCCTCCACTTTCACTGCAAACGGGGCGAGAGTAGCCGCTGCCTTCAGACCTGTATCTTTTGAGAAATTACATGTAACGGCCCGGGGACCTCACTGCACTGGGCATGGCCAAGCTTCCAGTGGCTCTTTTGTTAAGAAACTCTGCCTCTAACTCCTGCAGATACCGTTTTATAAATTACAAATGTTGCCAAGTTGTCTCATAACCTTCACTAAGTAGGTCAGCCTGTTTAAAAAAATAAATAAATAACTGGAAAGGAAAAGCAAAAAGACGTGAAAGTAAGGCCTTTGGGGTTTTTGTGCCTCTGGAATCAGCGAGTGGGCCTTGGACTTTGATGTGTTTGAACGATGTCTGCTTTGTAGTTGGTTGGTTAGTACACAGTTATTGTTTTAAAATTTTGCTTACATGTCCAAATGATAGATGTAAAATATCTTTCTAGCCTTATAAAAAATGTGGATCACATGAAATGTAATATCATTCTTTGTAGGAGTGTCATTCTTTTGGAAAGGGTTTTGAAGGAGGCAAAGGCAGCAAACATTTCTAAAATAACTACTGTGTGTGTGTCTACACATAAAGAGTGTAATTCTTACTCTTGGGAAATAGAAAAGACAAATGAAACAGCATAGGATAAAGAATTAGTAGTATAAACATAATTATTACCTTTTTTTGCATTATAGGACCCTCTGCAACCTTAAAATCTTTTATGAAAGCCATGGACTAGCCTTCTAGAAAAATGCACCTTTACATATAATTTTGCATACGGTCTTAAAGGTCAGGTACAATTTAAACGAGGGAGGAGGAGCTTGAAATACTATATCAGGAAATAAAGAGCATCCCAGTTCGACCTGAAGAGAGACCGTTCTTGGAAGTGATAGATAAAATGAGAAGATGAAGTCAGTCTGTAGAGGAACTCTCCTTTGTGGCCACAGTGCTAGGCGTGTTATAGGGACTTAATAAATATTGAAAAAAAATCAGGAGAAGGACCGAAACTTTATTCTTTGACCATTAAAGATACGTCGATGGTTATGAAGCAGGTGAACACAGTTTTGGTTCAGTTTTGTAAGCATCCTGAGATAGTACTGCTTACCAAAGCTGCTGACAACTTGCCTTCTTAGGACTTCCAATGTATGCAAACATGGTTCTTTCCTTGTAGGGACCTTTCATATAAACAAAGTTTTGTATATTAAATATACATTCAGGAAACTCAATTCTGGCAGTAGCTGAAATTTTACCAATAAAGTTCTTAACTTGAAGGCCTTGGACTGGCCATAGGAGGTCTTAGGAACCCCTTGAAATTCAGCATATACCATCATTTGTAGTGTGAATGTGAGCTTGTGTTTTCTGGTGAGAGAAACCTTAACTTCCATCAAATTTTCAGATATGTTCCGCCTACCCCACCGGGGGCGGGGAAGGAGAATCATTGTTTTATGTTAATTTTTAAACTTTTTTTGACTACACTGCACAGAAAAAAAAATACGATTTGCATCATGACCCAGTCATGGCCACACATTAAATTAAAATCAAGTCTTCGTAAGACTGTTCTTATACTCACTATACCTGATGCACTATTTTCTATTCTATTTTCCTTTAAAAAATAATCTGACAAATTTCCCCATCTATAAGTGGTTCACAACACAAAGTTTACAAAATATTGCTTTGGATGACAACAATCTACATTTAGTTAATGGGAGTGAGACTAGTGGGGGAAGAATGGAGGGAAAGAATGAGGAAAGAAAATGAACTGTATCTGATGTAGCCAAAGGGCACAGACTTAAAAGTTTGAATCTGAATGGAAGAAGGATGGCATCATCTGATGCTCCTTTTTTTCTGTGGGGAAGGTATGTAGAAATGAGATCGAGGTAAATGTGTGAAAAAAATCAAGGACAAGAATATAGAACTGTGTGTCTGTGTGTGAACTAGCTCTGGAGTAGTAAAGGCTACATCCTCATGCTTTTTGCTTTGTCCCTCAGACTGGTAAAAATACATATCCTTCAGTGCGTAGTTCAGATGTCTCTTCCATAAGGTTTTCTCAGACTCCCCCTCTCCAGTGTGATGGTCGTGCTCCTCTTCTTTTATTGAGCACTTTGCTTATTCAGCTAACTTTCAGGCATGGCTACCTGTTACTTGTAAGAAACTGTTAGCCATTGGTATAGATATTTTGACTCACATTGAATTTTTACAACTTTCAATACAATAGATTGTATTGAAACCATTTCCTTTTTTGAGGAAACAGCATCAGTGTAAGTGACTGACATGTCATTTAGTAAGTAGTAAAAATGGGATTGGAACTCTTGATTTGTATTATTGACCTGAGGCTTAGATCTCTCTACTACCTATATATAAACTCCCTCCCTCTAGTTCTCTGTTTTTCTCTTTGTCACTCCTCCATAGCATTTAATACATGGTAATTTTTAAAAATTTGTTTTCTCATTAAAATAAAGTTCCATGGGGCAGAGATCTTTTCTGTCTTGTTCACTGTCAAGTCCCAAAGTCTCACAGTGCCTGTTAAGTATGTTTCAGTAAATACTTAATGAGTGAATACTAGGCACTGTTAAACATTAGAAGTTCACTGAAAAAATTAGTTCATTGAAAAGCTATGCAAATAAGGGCAGGGTGCTTTAGAAGATAAATGGGCACACGATATATAGTGGGCCACAGAGAAGGGAATGCTTACTTTTCTCATTGCAATAGTTGATACCCATTCAGAAGGCAAGAAGAAAATACGTGGCCTGTGAATCTTCACATAGTCACTGTTAGAAAGTCACACATTCATTTAAGAATGTTTATTTTTAATCCTTGTGTGTTTTTCATAAAGTCACTTGTAAGTAAAATTTTGTTTCTTGATCTTTGCATTTAGTTTGTCATAAGCATGTTCTCTTCATCTTTAAGCATTTTTCTTATACATGATTTTAATGAGAATATTTTTTGCACAAACTTTTGTGTTTGCTAAAATGTCACCTTCACAGTAAGGCCATCTCTGATCTCTTATTCAAAAATGCAGTCCTCCCCCCGCCCCCAGCATTTTCTATCACTAGTCCCTACTCTGTTTTTCTCCATTCCACTTTTATTGTATATTTTGTTTGTTGTCTGTTCACCCCACCAAAATGTAAACTTCACAAAGGGAAGTTTGTTTTAATATTCTCTACTGTCTCCCTCACACTTAGAAAAATGCCTGACCATAGTAAGCATGCAAGTGTTTGTTGAATGGAAGTATATTGAATAATTGGGTCAATGAATATGAATATTTTTAAGGTTAACATGATTGGCAGTTTCTGTTTTTCTTTTTTCTTTTTGAAAGGCCTATTTACCAAAAGACGGGGACTAATCATCATGTGCCAGGCAACCACTCCAATTTGCTTCTACTATTGATACACAAAACTCTTCAACCAGAAGTCCACTGAACACTACTAAGCTACTCAGAAAAATTTAATTCGGCATTGACTCCAATTTTTTGCCATCAGTTGGAGGTGCACATTGACAAATTACTTTTCTAGGAAGGTTATAACATTTTAGACTTCAGTTAGCAATATGTAAAGAATGCCTGTTTTGTCTCACTTTTTTTGAAGGTACATTTATTGTTGGAAAACAAACATTGATCTAGTGATTCTGTGGCATTTGTGGTAGAGAGAAGCCATTAGCAAAGACACAAAAGCATGATATACCATACTATTCAAGGAATAACAGTGATGTGTATAGCTAGAATATATGGTTTAGCAAATGCCACCTCATCCTGAAGATAGAAGGCTTCAATGAATATTAAAAGGTGTCGTAATATACATGTTAGATCAGTCTGGCAGCAAAATATGAAAGTAGCAATAAGGTGGATGTTATTGGATTTTGAGGTCAAGAAACTTGGAGACTGGATTGCTTACAGTTTGGGTTGTCCTTATGGACACTGAACTAACCCATGTTGATGGCAGGAAAGGGACAACACTGCCAAAATCATCAGTGAAAATGGCATTGGGACAGAAATTAATGAATGATGCTAATAAAATCATTAGAAACTATGATGTAATTGTCTTACAGGAATCTAAAAGGAAGAGTTTTTGCTGTGGTTAGATAAGCAGTTCCCCTTCAGAGGACAACATTAGCAGTACCTTTGAGATGTCTCTGTTATATGTATATGTACAAGATGCATAGATTGTTTCTTGCTCATTTGCCTATTTTTTAAAATACTTTGTTAATAACGATTCCTTTTAAAATTAATTTTCTTTAAGACTATATATCTCTTTTCTCTGTTACTGAATTCTCCTTCATGAGCCTCCCATTTTTTCAGCTTTCCTTTCAAGCTGGGAATAAAATCTGGACTGATAACAAACGCTATTTGACTTTTTAAAAACTGTCAGTAGGCCTTTCCTATTGAGAAGATTCTGTAACTGGTAATCCCTAATGTCTTTTGATTTCACGAGAAAGTAAAAGTGCCTCCAGTCCTTAAAAGACTCCAAGCCTCAACTTTTTAATGCTGAAGATTGCAAGGCTGCCTTGACCTTAATCCTTATGTCTATTTTTACCAACTTAAGAAAAAAAAATAATGTTTTTAGTATGTTTATGGTATGCTTGAAAAAATTCATCAAAATTAATTTTGTTTTGTGAATTCTCTAGAATCTTCGGAGGTTATTTAAAACAACATGGCTTTAAGACTAAATTTGTCATTTACTGAAGAACTGACAAAGCAAGAAATTAGGACTTTGATTTGGAAGTAGCCAGAGTAGACATCTTGATATAGTCTCTTACAAAAATAAGGGGTTTTGTTTGTTTATTTGTTTGTTTGTTTGAGATTTCTCCAACTGATTGCGGAAAATCAGAGTTAATGCTGAACTAAATTTTTTTGAGTAGCTTGGTAGTGTTCAGTGGACTTCTGGTTGAAGAGTTTCATGTATCAATAGTAGAAGCAAATTGGAGTGGTTCCCTGGCTCATGATGATTATATCAGTAGGCATGTCTGTGCTAGTCCCCGTCTTTTGATAAATAGGCCTTTCAAAAAAAAAAAAAAACTGCCAGTCATATTAATCTTTCTCTCTTCCTGTCCCACGTACAATGATTAATCTGAGAGATGAGCACACAACTTAAGCTAGGCCAATCAGAATCCATTAGCAAGAATTTAAAATTGGAATTTCCTCTCCTGGTGCTTTTCTACAAAGTTGGAAATAAGCCCCGGTCAGCTCTTCTGTAGTTCCCGCGGAGTATAGCCCTCTGTCCCCCTGCTCTCTTCCCTATTGTTTTTACTTAAACTAGCAGTTATTGATTTGTTATCACAACCAAAGTGACTAAGACGCTCTAATAAATACTTGATTTCATACCAAATACCTGTTTTATTCTCACCAGTTTTTATCATTTCCACCTTACTAGTAATTTTTTCTATCAAAGGGAATAATACTAACCTGTGGAAATTTTTGGAGTTTAGTAGAACTTAATAAGTAGATAGGATTTGTAATTAATTGAGATAGTCATTTTACAAATGGTGAAAGTTTTTTTGAAATAAATAAGACTTATGATATAGTTTAATTATTTCATGGATATGTTTATTTATTTCATGGATATAACATCTAAATATAATATTTCTGTATAGTTTCATGAGAGAGGTAGGTAATGATGAAAATAGGATTATAGATTTGACTTTATATCACTGTGTCTCTGCCTTCCTAATTTGAATCTTAAAATGATGAGCTGACTTGACAGACACCTAACAGACTTTACAAAGTAGGATATGATAGTTTAAGGTCGCAGTGGAAAATATGTTTAGTTGGAGAGGAGTCCAGAGGGGAAAGGTGGTTCTTAGTCTGCCTTTCTGGTCAGACGTGTTTCCCAGATTCCTCTCATTCTTGTTTTGCTCACCACAAATTGAGGTGTATATGATCATTGAAGTAAAACTTTCCCTGAGCATTCTTTTGCTATACAATTTGGATTATATGAGTCTACAAAACAAAAAGAAGCACTAGACTAGTGTAGTGCAGAGGGTTTCTATAGCGAGAAGTAGAAAATTGATGCATTGGATCACAAAATGGAATTCACCAAATATATATTATGTGTATATTTTCCTGAGGATGGTGTGTAGCTTTAGTCAGATTCTCTAAGGATTTTATAACTCCAAAACAGGTTAAGAATCCATTGCAGTGTCCTGCTCTTTTCTTCCTAAACAGAAAAGAAAAATCCGAAAATCCCTGAATTCAGTACACAAGAATACTGTTCCAAGAATGTTAACATTCAGGTCCATTAGCATTGCTAATGACAAACTACACAGTTAAGCATGCGCATGCTATACATGCATACATATGTGTATCTCAGAATATACCCCCCATACTCTTTGGTCTCTGGTTAAAACAATAGTTGATCTTAGTGTAATTGTTAGCTTGTATAACAGTGCTTAGAGTTGAATTCAGGCCTTCCTATTTGTATACTTTTATATGTGTATATTTATATACTTTTAAGTCATCAAACAATAATGTATAGAAATAGTTTACCCAAGTTTTCACTATGAAGTTGCTTCTTGGAGTCTAATATACTGATAACACTAGTGTCGATTTTAGGATTTCTGCTAAAGATTCCTTTAAGCTATTTTTGTTACTATTAATCGACTTTTGTGGTAATAAATTTTTGGTAATTAAAATTTTGAAGGAACAAGCATTTGGTGAAAAGTCTCCATCCAATCTCTGTTTCCAAACTTCCATTTCTTCTCCCTAAAAGTAGTCACTGTAACCATTTTCTTATGTGTTCTACCGGGTGGTTTTCCCTCTCTAGGTAGCGTTTTTAAGTTTTCTTTACATAGATTTTGCACATTTATTAGATTTATGCCTAAGTATTATGGACTAAATTGTCTCCCCCCTGCCAAATTCGTATGTTGAAGTCCTGGTCCCCAGTACCTCAGAATATGACTGTATTTACAGACGAAGCCTTTAAAGAGGTAACTGAGTTAAAATGAGGACGTTAGGGTGCATCCTAATCCAATCAGACTATTGTCCTTATAAGAGATTGCAACACAGACAGAGGGTAGACATATGAAGATACAGAGAGAAGACAGCCATCTACAAGCCAAGGAGATAGGTCTCAGAAGAAACCAGTCTTGCCAACAGCTTGTCTCTGACTTTTAGCCTCCAGAATTGAGAGAGAGAGTTCATTTTTGTTGTTTTAACCACCCAGCCTGTGCTACTTTGTTATGTCAGCCCTAGTAGACAAATACAGACTGTGGTACTGGTAAGTGGGTGCTGCTGTTACAAATACCTAAAAATTTGAAATTAGAAAATGGGTAGAGGCTGGAAGAGTTTTGAGATGCATGCTAGGAAAAGTCTGGATTGCCTTGAAGAGATGTTGGTAGAAATATGAATGTCAAAGGCAATTCTGATGAGGGTTCAGAAAGGAAAGAGGAGAGCTGTGGAAAAAGCTGCCATTGTCTTAGAGATATACACATATCGTCATCAACAGAATGTTGGTAGATGTGAACATTAAAGGTGCTCCTGATGCTGTCTCAGATGGAAATGAGGAACATGTTATTGGAACCACTGGAGGAAAGGCGAACCTTGTTATAAAGTATACTACAAAAACTTGGCTGCGTCCTAGTGTTTTGTATAAAGTAGAACTTGTGGTGATGAACTTAGATATTTATCCAAGGAGATTTCTAAGTAAAGTGTTGAAGATGCAGCCTGACTTCTTTTTGCTGCGTGCAGTAAAATGTGAGAGGAGGGAGATAAATTGAAGAAGGAATTATTAAGAAATATAGAACCAGAACTTGAAGATTTGGAAAATACTCAGCCTATCCATATTACAAAACCAGCATTTTCTGGAGAGACTACCCAGGGTGTGACTGAACGACCATTTGCTAAAGAGATTATGGGCATGTGATTTATGGATCTGGTCAGCCATCTCAACGGAAGCTAGGAATAGAGATGGGTTATCCAGGAGAGATCTATAGAGGACTCTCTTGTCTGACGGCTTGCACCACGATAGGTTGCATGGGAGGCAACAAGATTTTTGAGAATTTTATACCAGCAGAAATGCTGCCAGCTTGGAATTGAAGGAGACACAGATGACATGAATGAAGACTCTCATACCTCTGGAATTCTACTGGATGGGCCCATAGAGCTGTTCAGCTTTGAACATGTGTTATCCTTCAAGAAAAGAAAAGACTAACCCTGAAGATGGGTCAGAAGTTGGCGGGGTTGTCACTGCCACCGTGGGCCCAGAGCATACAGGCCCGGGGAACAGAACTGTCCCCTTGGTTGGTTCCAGAGAGGTTGAGGCCATTGCTTTTCAACCTGTGAGAGATAGTTGAATAATCAAACTAAATATTGAATATTGCTTTTAACAGAACTAATTGAAGCATTTAAAATTTTAATAAAAGTAATCAAAGGAAAAACTATTCAGATAATTTGGAAATTAAAATTATAGAATATTTTTGAATTATATAATATAAAGTCAGAAGTAAATTTTGTATTCTTGACTGTCTCGGAGAAAAAGCAAAGATAAAGTCAACTCAATCTTACAAGCTCTCAAATTTATTTGGAGACAGTTTTACATTAAACTCAAATTAACCTTAATGTATAAGAAACTGCCATGAATGAAGTCACAAAATTCTAGAGAAATCTTCTGAATGAATGCAATTATTTTGTCAGTTTTTACAATATATTGATAAAGTGTGTTAAATGGCTACAGTGATGTTTGTTGACAGATGGGATTGCCTTGTTTAAATTAATAAACACCTGATCTGTATCAGAGTTCTTCTGTTTAGGCTTTAGTATCTTTGAAAAGTGAAATTGTTTGGTTGAGTCGTTTTTTTAGGTAGATATTTTTCAAATATATAAAAGCTGAGAATAATTTTATGAACTCTTGTATAAACTTCACCAGTCTTCAGTAACTCAGTGCATGGCCAATTTTTTTTTTTATTTCCTTTCCACTCCCATCCACCTAACTGGATTGCTTTGAAAAAAATCCTATCATCAAAATTTCATTTCTAAATTCTTCAATAAATATGTTTTTGTGGGTATAATTATGAAAAGCCATCTTTTTATTTTTGGCAGGACAGTTTGGCAATTAGATCATGGCAACCATAGAAGAAATTGCACATCAAATTATTGAACAACAGATGGGAGAGGTATGTCTAGTTTACAGTTCATTCACTGATTTACCGAACTTAATTACACCAAATGTATATGCTAGATTCTGGAGTACTGAAGATACTCCTTTAAAGTAACTGTAATCTAGTGAGAGATAGTTAAATAATTGGACTATCACAATAGAATATGGTAAGTACTATCATAGATAATTGTATAGGGTGCTGTGGGAGCATAGAAGAAAAACAACTAACGAAGAATTATAGATGAGTATAGGGACTTGGTCAGGGAATATTTTTGGAGGGTGCAAAATCTGAGGCCAGTCTCAGTGTGCCAGTGGGAACAGATCCATGTCAGTAGACAGATCTTCGTTATTTAAACGGTTATGTCCTGTTCCTTAGTAAGAAGTACCGTAATCCTGAGGTTTTCAGAGTATCATCTAGGGACTCCTTCAGAGAATCAGCAGGGTCAAAACCATTTTCTTAGTAATATTAAAATGTTATTTGCCTTTTCACTGTCATTCTCTCACAAAAGTATATAGCAGAATATTGCAGAGGCTACATGACATGTGAAATGTCAACATTTAAAAAGTGTATATAACTCGGTAAACCAGTGTTTCCCAGATGACCAATGCATGATGTTATAAAACCACTCATGAGTAAAGGGTTCATTCAGATTGCAGGGTAGACTAATGGATTTTAATATCACTTCTAATTCCATATTGCAGTAAACCTTTAAAAAGCTACCATTTGTTAAGTTTTGGTGTAGTATCAGAGAATAGTTTCCATAGTGTGAAGAGGCTGTTTATTAAAATAGTCTCCCTCCTTTCAACCAATAAATGTAAGGCTGGATTTTCTTTTTATATTTTAAGCAAAACAACATATTGCAACAGATAGAATGCAGAGGCAGGTTCTAGCTACCCAGTAAAGCATTTTGCAAAAATGTATATCGGTGCCACTGGCACCACTAAATTTTTGTTTGTTTGGAAAGTATACTTATTTTTCATAAATATTATGTTATTTATGTTAACAGTTAATGTTATTTTTAATTAATAATTTTTTAAATTTCTGTTTGAAATTCTAATATGGTAAATATAATGGATATAACCCATATAAACAAAAGCCCTTTGAGAGTCTCATTTTAAAGTGTTTACAGAGGATGGAGACTGGACTTGGTAAAAAATAGTCTATGTAAAATAAAATTGATAACAGTTAAAACTGCACCCAGAAAAATAGGACATAGTAGAAATAATGGTCAACAAAGAAAACTCAAATTGGCAGCAGCTATAATCAACACAGTCTGCTCTAGACAAAAACTAATTAGTGATTCAGAACTTTGCTGTAAATTTTGCATAGAAAATAATCTTGACGAAAATTTCAGAGAAGTGAAAAGAGTTGGAAACAAAGCAACTTTGCCATTTAAAACTTGAATCAAGGAATTAACTTGGTTTAATGAGTTTACTATGTAAAATATTTGCTCAACAACAAAAATCCTCAATGCTGGGCTAGTTCTCTTTATTCATGAACTTGCTTTTCCCCAAACTATTCTATCACAGTAGATGGCAATTCTATCCTCTCAATTCCTCAGGCCAAAATTTTATAGTCATCCTTGACTATTCTTATATTCCACATGGAGTCCATCAGCTCATCTTGTCACCTTTTCCTTCATAAAATATCCCAAATTCAGTTGTCCTCCCCAGCTCCAGCATGGCTCCTCCCTGTCTTCAGCCAGTATCTTCCCATATATAATACCGAGATCTTGCCAGTGTCTGCAGTAGTAGCCTTTCTGGTCTCCCTTAATTCTGCTCTTGAACATTTACAATCTAGTCTTCACTCTAGATCTAGAATGATCCTTTTGAAAAAGATCCTAGCTCTCCTGTGCTCCATAAACCCTCCAGTGCATCACCATTTCACATAGTAGGAAATCCAGACTTTATATGGCCTCAGAATCCTTAAACGATCTAGCCCATCCCATCTTCTGCCATAATCCCTCTCTTATACTTTGTTTCACTTACACGACTCTCTTACTGTGTCTCTTACCTCATATGTGTCGAACAACTTCTCTTGCCCCATGGCCTTCTTTTATGATGTGTTTCCTCAACCTGGGATGCACTCCCCTAGCGAATCCTAAGCCTTGGTCTGTTAATTCACTTGGGTCTGTGCAAAAAATGTTACCTCCTCATTGCTCTCATTTTATCAGTGAGTCTCGCCTTAACCCCACTTTATTTTTCTTCATAGCACTTAATACCACCTGACAATATTATTTACTTATTTGGTTTTTATTTGCCTTTTCTCACTAAAATAAAAGCTTTATGAGAACAAAGATTTTTCTGTTGCTCTGTCCCAGGATCCAGAACAGTGCTTCATAAATAGAATGCACCCAATATATGTTTGTCTAAATGGAAGGTGGGAGGGAAGGGGAAAGAAGGAATCAAAATAGTGAGGTCTAAGTGTTTTTACTATTGTACCTTTATTTATTTGTACATTTGTTTATTTCTGTAAGATAAGATTTAATGGAAGTAGAATTGTTAGTTTAAAAGATGTATGTATATATATTATATTGAATATTTATGTAATGGTATGCTTTCCTAGCTTTGTCTGAAGGCATGGCAAAACTGTTCTTTGAGGGGGGAAAAAATGAGTGGATTACTAATTTTACATGATTGTGTTAGATTGTTACAGAGCAGCAAACTGGCCAAAAAATCCAGATCGTGACAGCACTTGATCATAGTACACAAGGCAAGCAGTTCATTCTGACAAATCACGATGGCTCTACTCCAAGCAAAGTCATTCTGGCCAGGCAAGATTCCACTCCGGGGAAAGTTTTCCTCACAACTCCAGATGCAGCAGGTGTCAACCAGTTATTTTTTACAACTCCTGATCTGTCTGCACAACACCTCCAGGTAAATAACTATAGAGGATCTTTTCATCTTACACTTGAAAAAATTAAAAAGCATGTCATAAGTATAAAGCTTGACATTAAAAATTTAGGTCCTGCATGTTGAGTAGGAAAAAAATTCTTGCAGAAATTTATATGCTGTGCAGATTGTCTGTGGTGACTGCCCTTTCCTAGGGGTCACTATAGTTTCCCCTTACACATTCTCATACCCATATATTTTGGGGATTCTTAGTGCATGCAGTAAAATTCACTCTGGCTAGTTTGATCAGGAAGGGATTTAATAAAGGATATTGAGAGCTCAAAGAATTGTTCGGAAGGCTGAAGAAACAGTTCTAGGTCAGGCTTCCAAAAATACCTACTGGAGCATGCATCAGAACTTATTTCTAGGAGACATGCTGCTCCTGCACAGTTAGGACACTGCCAGGTCAGGAGCATCTTCTGTAGCTGTGGTTTCCAGGACCACCCTTCCTGTGCCTCAGACATGTAGCTGCCAAATCGAGAAAGTGGTATGATAGTTGCCGTCTTCGTCACTGCCTTTTCTGTTGTCATCTACATCTTCACTGATGTAGCAAGCAGTCTGCCCTGTGGTCTGCTTTAATTCTGGAACTTAATAGTGTAGATTAACTTTACATTGAGTTAGTATTAATTTTTGCTAATTATACATATTCTTCAAGAGCCAGTTAAGGCTTCTACACACTGCATGCCTGTGGTTGTATAGAAATTTTTAACTGCTGGTTACTAGAATTGAATGCAGATACAATTAAATCTTAAGTTTGCCTTCAGAAATATTTTGGGGAAGTGCCACTTAAAATTGGATTCCAGTCTACGGCCATGCTACTCTGAACAAGCCCAATCCCATCTGATCTCGGAAGCTAAGCAGGGTCGGGCCTGGTTAGTACTTGGATGGGAGACCACCTAGGAAGACCAGGTGCTGTAGGCGTAAAAAATTTAGAAAAATAAGAGATTGTAAGATGACAAGATCCTTGCAATCTGTGAGGTCAGCCAAGGGTTGCCTCACCTAAAAAAAACAAAAAAAAAACAAAAAAAACTTAGGTTCAAGAACTGACCAAAAGATACATGATTATTAAGAGGCTGAGTGGGAATTAAAATTATATGTTCCCTACCTCATGACATATATAAAAATTAACTCAAAATGGATCAGAGACCTAAATGTAGAGCTAAAACTACAAAACTCTTAGAAGAAAATGTAGGCATAAATATTTGTGAACTTGTATTAGGCAGTAGTTTCTTAGATATGACACCAAAAGCACAAACAGCAACAACAATAACAACAACAAAAAAATTGGATTCCATATTCTGTGATGAAAAACTGACCAGACGATTTCTTTTAGGATTAAAAAACTTCTAATTCATGAAATACAAAATTTTGCCTCTGTATCTTGATAGATTGTGTTATTATTCCATTTACATCATTTTTATTATTTTTAGAAACTGAACTGCTAAGGTAGAAAATGGATAGGATTAAGTTACAAGACAAGTCACTAAAAAAATGTATCACATTATACATACCTTAATTTCTTTTATTAACAGACTTGAATTTTTTTGAACAGCTTTACATTTACAGAAATATTGAGCAGTTGGTACAGAGTTCTCATTATCTCTGAACATAGTTTCTCCTGTTTTCAACATTTTACATTAGTATGATACTTTTTTATAATTAATGAACTAATACGGATACATCGCTAACTAAAATCTATAGATGTTTTTAGCTTTCCCTAATTTTTACCTAATATCTTTTTTTGTTTTAGGGTACCATATTACATTTAGTTGCCATGTCTTTTTAGATTCTTTTTACCCATTGTGAGACTTTGGCTGTTTTTCTCATGGATAGACTGGGGTTGTGGATTTTGGTTGAGGAGGATCACAAGAGGTTAAGTGCCATTTTCATCACATCATACCAAGGGAACTTACTGTGATGCTTTATCTCTGGTGACACTGACCTTGACCACTTGGCTGAAGGAATATGTGCCAGATGTCTCCACTGTAAAATTATTCTTTTAAAATTTTTTTGTGTGTTTTAAAAATAAAGGTAATATTGGTACTTTGACTACTTTTCTTTGTAACTCCTTTTCTATTTAAAAAATTTAGAGTTATCTTTTATGCTTTTATAGCATATTTCAATCGTGTCATTCCATGTGGAAAGTTTCTTAACTGTTCAAAGACAAATGTTATGATGGGACTGATGACTGCTGCAGTAATGGGTGAGATGCATTAAAAATAACTCAGGTATTTGTGTGTTTAACAATCCATTTAATGAAATTGTTATGGTATAGATGAAAAAGGTATTCTTACTGTCTTCTTATAACATTGAAATTTTTACTTGTATGTTAAGAAAATTACAAATAGTTTAATTGCTATATTCATAATAATAGAGTTCAAAGTTTCAGAATAACTTATGAAAAAGAAAGCAAAAAGTAGGATTGACTATTCTTTTAATTTTTTACATGAATGCATTATTGAATAATAACAAATTACTGTGTTTTTGTTTTGTTCGGGGGTTTTTTTCTTTAGCTCTTAACAGATAATTCTTCTCCAGACCAAGGACCAAATAAGATTTTTGATCTTTGCGTAGTATGTGGAGACAAAGCATCAGGTAACATTAAAAATAGCCTCCTGTATTCCGTTGTTAAAATAATGACCACACTGCTATGTTTCTTCTACTGATAGTACAAAGGAAAGTAAACAAGCATCTAGTTTTTATGGTTCGTATTTGTAGCCTATGAACTTTGACCGATTTTCCCCAAAGCTTTTTATTCACGTAAAGATGTTTCACTTCAGTGCAGTTTAATTTGATCTTTGCAGTGACGTGAAATGTATATTTCAAAGAAATATGAAAGACAGTTCACCTTTTGAAAGTAAATGGAAATTTTTTGGATGTGATACCAGTTTTATCAAAGGAATTGCTTAAAAATGAGTCTTGATTCTTAATAATACATAACATTAAGTTGTTAACCTACTTATTGAGCTCTGTTATCATTCTAGGAATATAGAGTAACTTGAATTGTTGAGGTGGAACAAGCGCTGGTTAACCTTTTTTTAATTCTTTGCATAGCTGAGCAGGGATTTCTCCAAACTTATTACTAGTACTCAGAGTTATGTCATTTTAGTTCTGGCCATTGTTACTTCATGCCAGAAATACAAAGCCATGTTCACTCATATATATTTACAAGGGCCAGTAAGCTATAGTTTAAGGGCCCAGTTTTTTCTTTAATCCTTTTTAAGCTTTTCCATAGCTTAATTACAAAAACCTATACTAGAGCTTTTCCCAGAGTATGTTCAATTTGTTAATAGATGTTGCACCAAAGAAATAGTTTGTGAAATGATAGATTAATCAGAGTGCAGTAGGTTTCTGCAGAGATTTCAAAAGTGGAACCCACAGTGAGGGGGAATTATTACAGTTCGAATATTAACTGACATGCCTTTTTTGGAATATAGTTTTCAGAATAAAATATACAGAATGTAACAGGACTATAATTTGTAAATGATCTCAGAAGTAAAAATAGATATTATATTAAAGGGTTATGGGTGATTTTGTTCTTCTCTTTCCCAAATTTTCCATACCATTGTTAAGGTTTCTTTATAAAATTTAAAAACTCATATTGTTTAATATATTTTATCAGAGAATATGGTGGTTTCATTCTCTGTTTAGTAACTCCTGAAAAATTTTTTCAAGTCATAAACTCAAATCTGTTTTATCTCATGTATTGTTTAAAGGGAAGAAATGGCCTTATTTCATTTCTATTCTAAAATATGTGACTTGTGTTTTCCTAAACATTTGTCTCTAGGACGTCATTATGGAGCAGTGACTTGTGAAGGCTGCAAAGGATTTTTTAAAAGAAGTATCCGAAAAAATTTAGTTTACTCATGTCGAGGATCAAAGGACTGTATTATCAATAAACACCACCGAAACCGCTGTCAATATTGCAGGTTACAGAGATGTATTGCGTTTGGAATGAAACAAGACTGTATGTATTAGCTTTAAAGGAGAAAATACTTTTAAGGATTCAGACAAACTCTAGAAGTATATTAAAATTAACATATGTCCAATATATATGCTTTTTAATTTAGTTTTCCAACTAAAATATAGAAATATGTATATACGTATGTATTTTTTATTCACTCAACAAATATAACAGTTTTTTTATTAAACTACTAATGCAATTAATAAGATAATAACAATAGCTAACACTGATTGAGCTCTCACTGTGCCTAGCTCTGGATATAGCATATGAATTAACTTTCTTATTCTCACAGCAAAAGTCTATGTAGTAGATACTTCTACTGTTACCCATTTTATGTTTGAGTGAACAGATTTAGTAACTTGTCCAAGGTCACACAACTAATAAGTGACAAAACTGGATTTGAATCTTGACTGGTTTTTTTTCCCCTCAGAAAATGTACATTTTAATAGCTGTACTATACTATCTCCTAGGTATCATGAAATAAAATTCCAATGAAATAAGTGAAATATATTCCCTGTATTATATATATGAAGACTAAGCAGTTGAATTACTTCTCAAAAATCCCCCTACCCTTTACTAAAAAAATAGATCTAACTTTAGTCTTTTTGTGGCTCTTTGTTAGTATTATTTTTCAAATGGTTAAATATTATTTCATTTTTTAAGACTCTCTTATAGATAATAAAGAACTGGCTCCTAGCATCAGGTTTTCCTTCTTGACAATGAACTTTTATTATTTTACCACAACTGAAGCAGGCAGAGAAAAGAGAGATGCAAAATGGCCAGTTTTACTATTTACTATTATCATTTACTAAAGCAGCTTCGTTGAACTAGCAAATAATTTGTAAAGATTGATGATTATCTTTGGAGTTCTGTTATGGTCGCTATGTCTCCCATTAGCAATGGTGACCTACAGCTTACATTTATTCTTGCCTCTAAATTCTGCATTGTGATATAATAGTCTGACACATTTTTTGTAGCTGTTCAGTGCGAAAGAAAACCCATTGAAGTATCACGAGAAAAATCTTCCAACTGTGCCGCTTCAACAGAAAAAATCTACATTCGGAAAGATCTTCGAAGCCCATTAGCTGCAACTCCAACTTTTGTAACAGATAGTGAAACTGCAAGGTATAGTAAAAACAACAAACAAAACATATATTAAGTAGCTGGTCATTTGTTTTTCTTCCCATGGAAACTAAGGCTGAAATTTGTTCTTATTTGTTACAGGTCAGCAGGACTGTTAGATTCAGGAATGTTTGTGAATATTCATCAGTCTGGAATAAAACCTGAGTCAACTGTGCTGATGACACCAGATAAGGTGTGTTTAGTGCAATTAAGTTAAAGCTTAAATATTTTTAAGCTTTTAAAATGGGTTCCTTTTCTTTATCTTCTCTATCAATTTTGCCAATTGATTGGCCTTAAACATTCCCTATTACAAATTGCTTTTTTTTTTTAACGTAAATTATCAACTTAGTAGTGTCAGATGGCAAAACTAACAAGTTCGATGTCCTCTATTCAAGGGAAAACAGTCCATGGATTGGGGGAGTACAGTGCCTCATAAGCGGTGGAACACTCTTCTGGAAGGATTTTGGGCAAGAGTGAGTTTTATAGAGTATTAGTAGCAGCAACAAGGAAACAAGGCACAATTGGCTGTGAAGTCAGGGATTTCCTTGTAAGGCTGGTGGGTCTTGTTTTCCTAGGGTAAGGTAAGCTAGCTAAAGCTGAGTTGGAGGACTGATCAGTGTATGTTAGGTTTCCTTGATAGGTGTTTCCTATAGTACAGGCTGACTTAGGTTTAGTTTTATGACATGGGTGGGGTCACTGGTGGCCTCCATTTTCTGGATCCCAATCCTATGAGAATAAACTTTATCAGTAGAAATGTTTATTCTACTTGGACAGTTATAGCTTCAGTGTGAAAGTGACAAACATTTAACAATCTTCACCTTGACATCAAAGTCCTCATAAAGAGGTATTTATATTTAATAAGTGGAAAAATTTTAATATTCCTTTTATATTCCCGTACAGATTTTGTAGTGTCAAAATACTTAGAATATTTCAGATGAAGAGAAATTTCTAACACACCGGACTCAAAACTGACTTGAGTCAAGAGTAGGAATAGGATTTTAAGAGCTCTCATATTATATACCCAAGTGATCTGGGTTCTCTTACAGATTTGGAGCAGCTCTTTATTGAGCAAGGCGTCTAAAAGAAAAAAGGTTTATTTAGATTGAGCATGTAGAATTTCTGTAGTCTTCAGAAACCCGTATGAGAACAGAAAGCAAAAATTTCTCCTGAAGACTCATATCTGAAGACAGATTTTGTCTATGGCCATGCTACCCTGAACATACCCAGTCCCGTCTGATCTCAAAAGCTAAGCAGGGTTAGTACTTGGATGAGAGACCACCTAGGAAGACCAGGTGCTGTAAGCATAAAAAATGAAGACAGATTTTTCAGGGAGCCTATGACTCTTATTTCTCTCAACCTATAATTTGATATGGTTTTATATATCCTATTAGATTATTCATCCTATTTATGGCCCGATTTGTTATATATTTGTTGCTTGACATTTTTAAGGCACTCTTAATACGCTCTTAAGTCAAATTTCAGCTGCCACTTACTGCCACAAATGCACAACAGTGGAGAAGTTAGTTGACCTCTCAGTGCCTTCTTCATCTGTAAAATAGGGATAATAAGAGTGTCTACCTTATAAATTGGGCTGTAGCTTGTTGCTCTTAAGTGAGGCCTCTTACCAAATGTTTTGAGATAAGATTTCTCTTAGCATTGTCTACGTGTTTCAAAGTTATATTGGTAGGTGCAATTTCATTGACATGTTAACTCCTTTAAGAAAGGAAGAGAACTAAATTTTGTTGAGAAATTACTATTTGTCCACACACTGTGCATTTCCGTACCTTTGTATTAAATTGTAGTAACAACCATGTGTGGTAACTTTTAAGTCACAGGATGAGGTCTTTCCACATTGCCTAAGAATCTCCTGTGGCAAAAACTTAAAAATCTAGTTAAATGGACATGTTATGAAGTAGAAGAGAACATATGAGTGTTTAAGTTTTAGTTGAAAATTAAAACACCTAAAAATGTACAAGAACACTGGCGCAGCTATTAGGAGCAGACCTGACTTCCCGTCCTGCTTCTCCTGTTTACTGCTGGAGTGACAATGGATAATTCCGAAGGGCTTCTCATTAGGAGCAGGAAAGCCCCTGCTCCTAACCACTGCACCAGTCTTCTTATACATTTTTAGATGTTTTAATTTTCAACTAAAACTTAAAACACTCATAAAGGAATGATGGTTCTTACTTCACAGGGTTGTAGTGAGGATTAAATAAAATATGTATGTAAGTAGTAATCATGTAAGAACTGGTGGGTTGCTCAGTAAATGACTTTGAGACTTATTTTGGGGAGAGCACAAAAATGGTTTCATTCTACTTATTCACCAAAGTTAATTTCACATCAACTAAGAATTGACATAACAAATGAAACATCAAGGAAACATGTATTCTCTTAGGATTGAGAACACTAAAAACAAAAGTCATAAAGGAAAATCCAAAAATAATCATTAAGGGGTCCTGTCAGTAGGCCATAGAAGGCAACTGAAGGGCTTCTCATTAGATTAGATTGGAATAATTGGAGCATTTAAGAAAGAAAGACTAATGGATTGAAACACATCAAATATATAAAAATCTATGAACTTGAGATGATACTCAAAATTCATCTCTCACCATTAGAGATTGCTAAGGCATTGACTTATTGTTCTGAAAATTGATCAATAAAAGGAAGAAGAATTAAGAACTTCTGCCTTTTTTGTACAAATTATATTTCTGGGTAGTCAGAGTCAAGGAGAGTTCTTTTTCATAAAAGATAACTCATCTGCATAAATAATATACAAATATATGCACCATTAACAAAAATAAAAGTTGAAAACAAATGGGAAACTATGCAGTGTTTAACAAAAGCCTAGCAACTTAAATAGAGATTTTTCAACTACATTTCACATAATTTCCTGGTATTTAACACAGTGGTTGGTAAAAGTTGACATCCTGTGAAGTCTGTTCAATAATACATTTATGTTTTTTTTCTCTTTTCAATAATAATTTTATTACATTTTATACAACTTTATAGTTAGTATAATATGCTTTGGAAATTATAACAATATCAGAATTCTAATGCTAAAAAAAAGATCATCTAATTTATATGTTTTTACAGAGGAAGCAACTGTGACATGGATACATGAGCCATTAAGTGCCATTTTTGGTTTAAAGTAACTTTTGTATAAATGTTTCCTAGGAAATGTACCTGATGTTTTTAAACTTGTATTTTCCTCAGGAAGTTTCTAGATGCTCAGAGCTCTTTGATTTTACTTTCTAGATTTCACCTTAGAGTACTTTTGGCATTTCGTAATCTAGAACTAAGTATTTTGGATTTGAAAGTTTACTGTTAACCAACGTACAGAATTTTAATACTTTTTTCTTTTTCTTCAGGCTGAATCATGTCAGGGAGATTTAAGTACATTGGCCAGTGTGGTTACATCATTAGCAAATCTTGGAAAAGCTAAAGATTTTTCTCAAAATAGTAATGAAATGTCTGTGATTGAAAGCTTAAGCAATGGTGATACCTCTTTGTGTGAATTTAATCAAGAGATGCAGACCAATGGTGATGTTTCAAGGTAAAGTGCTTTATAATCTTAAGCATCCTTTTGCTTAAGTGTTCTTCAGTATTTCTTAAAACATTTTTATGTTGAATATTATTTACAGAATTTTCAGGAAACAAGCATTTCTGTTAGACTTAGAAAATTTAAGGCATACTAAGTTTTAACTGAAAAACTGCATTCAGTGTAAAATACTGTCTAGCAGGTTACATTCTAAGTAATGAGCAATAAGTGAATATTCGAAATATAGTCATAAAATTCAAGAGTTTTTTTTTTTCCACTAAAAATGATAATTTGGGTCTGAAATTTCAGTTATTTTAGTTGACAGATTTTATCTTCTGTGTATTTAGAATTAAACATTTTGTCTTATTAGGCAGTCATGTTCACTTTCCCCACCAATTTTTAGTGTTGAAATAGATTTAAAAGATTGAGTTGAATCAACTACAGTTTTATTATACTTTGGGAAACTCATCAGAATTCTATTTTTCATTCTTTCAATGTTAATATTTAGAATGTAGAAACCAAATTTCTTCAGGTTTTTTTCACACTCTGTTCATCATCTAAAATATTGAAGAAACTCCATTTAAGAGTCTCAATAAGTACTTTGTTGAACATGGGCTTTTAAGGAACTCTAGAACGCATCTCATTGAAAAATAGGGGAACCATTTTGAATAATTATTTGCTAACATTATTTAATTATTTGCCATCCTGATCTCATATTCTTACAGTTTAGACGTAGCTGTGTTACTACAAGTTTAAAAATATTCTCTAAATTTTTAAATAAAATTAAAACCTAACTTTGTGTTGTGTAGAATACAATAATGTCAACATAACTTCTTGCCCTTGTTCTTTCTAAATAACTGCTATATGTAGAATAAATGAGCTGATATCTTGTAGTATCAAATGTATAACTTGTAAAAAGCATATTTTCATACCAAAGCATGAGAATTTTTCTCCTTCTTTATATAAGATTTCTTAAAAAGACTAATTCTTTGGTAGTACATTACTATAATACAGTTTTTCATTCTATACATACAAAGTTTAATTTGTTGCTTTTGGAGAGAGTCATAGATATCACTGAAATAGAATGTTCAGTGATAACACCAAAGTTCTATTTTCTAGACACATTTTAGGCCTAAATCTTAATTCCGGAATTTTATGTAGAATTTTCATTTTATTGTGGAGATTGGCCAAGCTCACAGCTTCTGATGTCTCCTTATAGGGCCTTTGACACTCTTGCAAAAGCATTGAATCCTGGAGAGAGCACAGCCTGTCAGAGCTCAGTAGAGGGCATGGAAGGAAACGTACACCTAATTGCTGGAGACTCGAGCATAAATTACATCGAAAAAGAGGGGCCACTTCTCAGCGATTCACATGTAGCTTTCAGGGTATTTCCATATATATATTGTATAATTTTTATGTTGTATTATCCATTTTGATTTTAATCTTCCTTTCAAAAATCAAAGTATATTTGTTATGCTTTTAAAAGTCAGAAATATCCCTGATAGAATTTAAAACAGCAGCTAAAACATACATCTGGCTATATAAAATAATGGCTTAATAAAGCAGCCTGTTTATAAATCATAGTTATAATATCAATGGGTTTAAGTCTATAAAAGTTAGCTTTTAGAATATTTAGACGTAGTTGTTTTTTTTTTAACTTTATATATTGGCATTCATGATGTGTCGAATGCACTGGTTTTGTTCAGCGCCTAGCTATTATTACTTGAGTGTAAACCAGTATCTAAGACCCAGATATTCTGCTCTTACTATGGTAGCTAAAGAGAACTGCATTTATTACAGATTGCCCCAATTAGCTAGCACTCAGAATTATTTTAAGAAGGTAAAAAATATTTAATACATTTTAACTTTTGTTTTTTAACTTTTTATGCTTTAACCATTATGGAGAGAATACATTTGTAATTTCTTTTTTGTTCCCCTAAATACATTAATTTATGATAGAAACAGTACATGTAGAATACTAGAAACAGTTCACATAGAATATTAGAAAATAGCTTTCTGACATTTGATTTGTCACTTAAGTAATGTTTGTACCACAGCTATAGATATGCTGACCATCGAGGCCCTAATTAAGACCCTACTGTTTTGACTCCTCCATGTTAACTACTCTGTATCTTTGCTCTGTCAGCTAGCAGTACTGTTAGCAAATCATACGAAAACTGATTGGCAGTTCTTAGCAATACATAGTCCTGGAATACCTGAGTGTAATTGCTCATAACTTTACTATGGGTTATACATTTCCATGGGTTTCTTATGAAAATACAGTTATCAAATAGATATACGTGTTACCAGTAGAAATAATGAATACAAAATAAATATAACACTGGCCAAAATGACACATGATAAAATATATTCACAAAATTCAACTTGGTAGAAATAACCACAGAGAAAACTCTCAGTGACTTAAGCAATAATTGCTGTAATTTGATAGTCAATAAAACAGATCAACGAAACCAATCTTTATATAAAATTTTACCAAAGATAACTGATATGGAAAAAATTAGAAATGTTTTTATAATGTACAAGAAAGCTTTTTATGAGGGCTGTAAGAAAAGGCAATGTCCTTTAATATTATAGTAGGAGCTATGGAGAAGGCTGGAGCAAAGCAAAACTGATTTTTCTCATTGCTTTTTATTATTCTTAATAAAAAACATTCTTTTGTTTTCCTAGTTTTCTTTTCCACCTTTGGACTTTAATAGAAAGAAAGGGTAAAGGACAGATGTAGGAAGAAGTCCCATTGCAAGGAAAAAGTACTCTAACTTCTACCTCTATAGAAAGTAGAAATAATCTACCTTTTTTTATTGTTGATGTTGGTCCTCAAAATTTTTTAGTCTTTCAAATATTTGTTTTGGACAGATGAATTAGACAAGTAGAGCTTTTTATTTTTTCCATTCTATCTTTAACCTGCTGTATTCCAGATATCCTCAGAATCAGCACTATCAAGTTTCTTGCTCTCCTGAAAAAGAGAGCTCCTTCTTTCTCTTACTTTTGTTTACAGTCTCTGTGAAATTAAGAGTTTTTTTCAATGGCTTCCCAGCCTGGTACTTTTATGGTTAGTTCTTTAATTGAGGTTTTATGGTTATGAGTTCCAAGACCTGACATCTATAATCAAAAAATCCATCTTAATTGATGAGCTAAATAGCATTTTGTTTCTCTCTTGCGTTTTTATATATGGTGTGGTTTGTAGCTTGCTTTCACATACGTTTTTTTCATTTGTGCCTCACCACAATCTGTTGAGAAGGTTTGGATTTTTATTGTCATTTCATGAATGAGAAAAGAGATTTGGAGGTTTTCAATGTCTTGTTCAAAGCAGTCCAGACAGGAGAAATAGTCTAATAATGCAAATTGCATTTGATTCTGAAGAATCTAGGACAATAGAAATATTTAACATTTTTCTTAAACTTCAGAATCGTTGGTGTGATTTCATATACTTTATGCCACTTGATTCTTACAATTCCTTATACAAATAATCAAAATGGATAGTAGTCTCATTTTCAAATAAGTGTATGAAACAGAGGTTAAATGATATCCCATACTGTTCTTCTCTCATGTTTATTATCTCAGCGTTAGAATCAGAATCCTTCCAGTCACCATGTTTGACATTTGGGAGTCCTTCTCATTCTCCCTGTGCCTCACTCCCCTCCAATCCCTGACTGAATCCTAACCCCTCTGTTGTTTTGAATTTCTTCCTTTCTCTTCATTTTCATTGCCATATTTCAAGACTTTTAATATTTCTTACTTAAACTATTGTAGTAATATCTTTGTTTCTAGTCCCTCTTTGTTTTGTCCTGTGTACTGGTAACAGAATAATTGTTAAAATCAAGCTAATTATGTTACTCTGCTACCTAAAAGCTTTCAGTAGCTTCCCGTTATAGATATAAGATAAAGTCCATGACCTTTTAGGACCCTCTACATTCTGATCCAATTGCCCATTTCTCAGACAGGCCATTCCCTTTCTTAGCTTCTGTAACTCACTCAGTTTCTCTTTTATCCCCCTGTTGAGTTTTAGCTCTTAGCTTATTGGCTCACAGTGAACTCTCAATAAGTGGTTGATGAATTAATATATGATCCAGGGCCACACAACTAATTAATGTCAAGTTGAGAGTCTAAATCTCTTTACTCAAGTCAGATAATTTTTTTTAAAGCTCCATCATTCAGCCTGTTATCAGAATTACATACAGAAACTGCTAGAAAGGTAATTGCAGAAAATAACTTCTAAAATAGGTAGCCTAGTTTAGTTCATGTCAATACTCTTAAAATTTCAATGTATTAAATTATATAGTTTGAAAAATGTGTGTAATTCAATTTATAAACCTAAAATTCCAAAGGCTGTTAGGAAATACACAATATTTATATTCTACAAAATTTGGGGAAGCTTTAACATCTTTGTAGTAGAAACTTACTCTATATAGAGGAAGAAATATTTGTCTTTGCAATCAAAAAGACTTGTTTCTTTTGCCAGCATCAGCCTTCTGATTCATAATGCTAAAGGTGTATCTTGCCTTAAGAAAATTAAGTATGTAAAACATAAATTGTGAGATATTTTCTCTATAATATATAATATAATATGGTCGTCTCTTAAATAATGTGTTTTTGTCGTGTATATTGCAAATGATTTCAGTTTTATGACTAAAACAAAGTTTTCATTGTTATAACCACTGTTGTGTAAGTCAAGGTGCGTGTGTGTCTTTTAGCCCTTACATCCAGTTTTTACATATTCGATTTTAAACTATTTAGCAAAGGGTATTCTTTGTTCTGGTTTTGCATCTTACCTACTCTTCCCCACTAAAACTATTAATCTTTGGTAATTCCCCTAGTTTTTTAGGCTTTTTTCCCCTGTTCACCTTTGACAATTCTGAAAAGTTATGATAGATAGATAGTTCCCAGTTTGTTTTTTACATAGTTATGTGTAGAAACAGTTATATCTTAATGATTGCATTTAAGATGCTTAATACATGCTTCCCTACAGTTCTCTTAAGAATTATTTTAAATAATGGTATTTTAATTTACTGCTCCAGTAAACATTTCTCAAACATTTAAAAAATTATCTTCTGATACAGTGGTCCCCAACCTTTTTGGCACCAGGGCCCAGTGCTCCTATGAGAATCTAATGCCTGATGATCTGAGGTGGAGCTGAGGCAGTGATGCTAGCTCTGGGGAGCGGCTGCAAATACAGACGAAGCTTTGCTCGCTTGCCCACCACTCACCTCCTACTGTGCAGCCCAGTTTCTAACTGGGCACGGACCGGTACCGGTCCGCAGCCCGGGGATTGGGGACCCCTGTTCTGATATGTGGAATTTCAACTGTTAATTGCCTTGTTGTTTTGTTACTCGGCACCATTTATAAAGAGGTAAACTATTTGGGGCTAATATTGAACAAAGGCAGTTAATATCTTTTACATTTTTATCTAACATTTCTGAAGAACTTTTATATTGTTTTGATGAAAACCTTTCGATCTGTTTGGCATCACAGACACCTTTGAGAATCTGATGAAAGCTATATGTCCATTCCCCAGAAAAACATGTGGACACATTTACCTACTTCACCCAAGGGGTAGACACTGCTGTTAAGTGTGTGGTGTATTTCCTTTTGTTGTTGTTGTGTGTGTGTGTATATATATGTATACACACATACATTCATACACATAATTTGGGTCATTTACATGTTGTTTTGCAGTTTTTCCCACCTGGGTGTCTATGACATGTTTTTTCTGTGCCATTACATCTCAATTTATCTTATTAATTTTAATGCCTACAAGATGCTCCATTAGTAGTACTACAATGGACATCTTTATACATGCTTTTTTTGTGCAGGTATATAAGTATTTTTCTAGAATAGAGATTTAGAAGTGTCATTATTAGGTCACAGGATGTACTCAGTTTTAAAATTTTGATAGATACTGCCAAAATGCCCTACATTTTACCTACCCTCAGTAGTATGTGAGTACTTGTTTTCCTATATCATCACATACAGGTAAAATTACATTTTATTTATAGCAACAAAAGTTCTCTAACAAGATTTTTAAAAATTCTTTTAAAAGTGTTTTGGTGTTGGATATTTATTTTCGACAGTGGTCACACATTTAAAGTAACTATGTAAGGTCAGCAGTATAAACGTAGCCTGTGAGTATTATGGTCACAGATTCATTTTGTTTTACCTGTAGATTAAATGGAGAGATTTTACACAGAACCTGCTATTTGAACGTTAGAGTAGGTAGTACTGAGCCCAGATTCCCACATTTTCAGTGTGTTAAATTCAGGTCACAGCTGTGCCCTTTATCTGGGAATATGTACTTCCCAGATGGTACCAGCAGGCCTGCTTCACTGATTACTCACCTGCTCCTGTAAGCATTTGAATTTGTTAATCTCACAGCCTAAATGAAAAGAACATTTAATGTACAGCATTGATCCTTAAACTGAAGTTGTTGTATACCATTGTTAATAAAGAAGAGGAGGAGAGGAAAAAACACATTAGACCAAGACATTAAGTAACTTTTAAAAACACTACCAGATAATATCATGGTTGGTTTTTATTAAGTAGGATTCTGCTTATCTGAATATTGCTTTGTTAAAAACTACAATCTCATTTATTCTAAATGTTTTTAGCTATAAAATCCAATGACTTAGATTATTTCAAGATTTGCCTTTTGGTAAAAATAATAGACTCATATTTGATACATTTATGTTTAACTTTTGCAAAGAAATGATCATTTAGAACTGTCTGTCATGAGATAATTTACTTTGGTTTCTGTTCACACTAGCTCACCATGCCTTCTCCTATGCCTGAGTACCTGAATGTGCACTACATTGGGGAGTCTGCCTCCAGACTGCTCTTCTTATCAATGCACTGGGCACTTTCGATTCCTTCCTTCCAGGCTTTAGGGTAAGTGTTTTGAAGTCCTCATATATAAATGTGATTTTGTAGCACAAATGTTCATTGAGCAAGAACTTATATTTTAGGAGGATCTGCATTAAAGGAAAAAAACGGTATAACATTATAACTTTAATTTTTGTCATTTATATTACAAATCATAGCAGCTAGTTGTTTCTGTGTATTATTTTTATGTGGTAAAGTAGCCATGTTTCATAAATTGACTAAGATAACAATTTGAGTGGATTATATGTGTTGGAGCTGGTAAATCATGGCCAGCATTTTGTAGGCCGTCTTTGAGTGACTTAAAGATAGGAAGGATGTAAGGATGTCTTAAGGTGGCTTTTTTCCCTCCCACCACCACAGTTTCAGTGCTCATCTCAGGCATTTTAATAAGGAGCTGAAACTTGCAAACAGTGAATATATTTTAAAATAGAGATAATTGTTTTCTAATCGTGTGACTGAAAAAAAGAGCAAGGAAAAAAATGTAAACCTTTAGTACCACTGTGATAATTTAGAAGATTGATCCTTCCGTTGAATAGCACATCTGTATTCTGTTCCAAAGTCATCGGCTGTTAATGGAAATGGTCTGCTGTAAGAAACACAAGCTTTACTTAAAAGTTTGCCAAAGTTATTTAGATTGCTGTAAAGTAACTGGTATGAAGAAGCAAAGAGACCATGGAAAAAGTTAAGCCCATAATTAGAAAAGTATTAATCTAGTTATAGGACCCTGTTCACCAAAATGATTTCGTAAACGGTTTACTTTCATAGCCTGTACAAATAGGGATAATAACTGCCCACTTTATCCTTAGAGAATATTTTGAATATAACAAACGTATCTGAATCATGGCTTTAAAAGGCATATATAGAACTCCACTATAATTTGGTTTATTAATCAGTGTCGAATATACCATGCATTAAATAATGTGTTTAAGTAATACAATTACATAAACTAAAAGCCTGATTTATAATGGATTACCTTTAAAATGATTGTTAGTCCTTTCAAAATAGCATTTAACTTTCAGAATTTCTCCAAATACAATGTTTTATTTAAAGAAATAATTAAAATACAACATAAATGTACACGTTAGCAGTTTATTTTACAGCATTAAATATAATTCCTTAAGCTTATACTTGACATACTTATGCCTTGAAAAGTAACCTGGTGGTATTTTTATTATAATAGGCTATCAATTATTATAGTAAAACAACAAAAAGAAGGATTGGGAGGTAATGATTTGAACTCCTGGGATTATTTGTTACACCACTGATCTTAAGTACTCCTGTTAAATTAAGTGTGCTATGGAAATAATGCAAATGTTGAAGAAACCAAAAATAAAGCCTGAGGTTTCTATTTATAATGTAGTATAATTTTATAGTGGCAGCCACATTTCTCTGTGATTGTATTGAAAATTGGTTTCAATGTGACAGCCACATGACTCTTTGCAATTAGAATTAACTATTGGTATAGTGTTCAAGGCCATTAACTGCTAGGTAAACTATTAACACTATCTAAATAATTTATAATTTGAATTAATCAGATGGTAAGAAAAACTATTCTAAATCCCCTAGAAACTGTCATTAGTTGCATTTTTATTTTTAGATATAATACTTGAAAACAAAGCTCCAATTTTATAGGGAAACAGATAATAGAGAAACAGATAAACAACATTAATTATTTTCTAAAAGTCCAGTTTATTTTGATCACTTACTTTAATAATAGAAGGAAACAAAACTTAAAGAATCTTAAGAGATGGTTAATACTATTTGTATTTACAAGGCTTCTGTGTTTTATAAGGATATTGCTTTTCTGTTTAAGATTTGTAGTTTTAGTACTTCCAGTAATTAAGTTGTTTTCCAATTCTACCTGAATAATTGAGTTAGATGACTACACAGTAGTATAGATTAAATTGGGGGTGAGGGGCACTTGGCACAGTTTGTCTGGAGTAAAGGGAGCAAGCAGTCTTCTCTACCTAGATTTTTAACTCTATTATCTCTATCTAGATAATTAACCAACAGCTCCAAACTATCACCATTTTGCTACAGGAGACTTGATTTATGGAATACTTTTTAAAAACCTTCCATTAAACGTTAAGTCTCAAAGTCAAATCTTTTAAAGTCCCACCACCACAAAGCAATGTTTACTCTAACTGTGGGTTTCAGCTCCATTGCCATAGCACTATTTTTCTTTAAGGTCCAGACATAGCTTCATTTCAAACAGATGCTACCAGGTAAAGTATAATGCCTTGGGTTTATTTGTGTAGAAGCCACGTGGTTAGATTATCTCCAGCTATAGATAACTTCAAGTCATATCCCTTTATCAAAATAAATATTATAAACAATGATCTGACCTCTAAGTTTGAGTACTACATACATATTTTAATGAACACTAACAATATAGTATAGTAAAGTACCTATACCTATTTGTAAAAGAAGTTGACATGTTTACCCTTATGCAGTTTATTGCTTTTATTAACACTTGCATAACTTTCCACATACTTGACTGATACTGTGTAATGATTTCATAGACTTTGAACACCTGGGTTTAGATTTTGGATTTATTTAACTACTAGCTATATCACTTAACTGAGCCTTCATTTCCATGTCTGTAAATTGAAATGCTTCTTTGCAGGCTATGCTGCTTAGGTGAGATGATGAATGTAAATTTAATCCAGTGCTGCTACAAAGTAGTAGTAGTTTTGCTTCATTCTCTTAGGAACCTTCTTTTTAAAGGGGACTTGCTGTTTTTCTTTCATAATGTATTTTTAAAAAACATTTGGACGGTGTAACTAGCTAAACTACAAGGATCTTTTTTGATGTTTGGATAAGAATGTAAATAGATATCTTTCTATAATTGATCTCTACAGTTCTTTCACTTTTCCTATGGAAACAAAATAATCTGGTAGTTTATTCCTTAGTTGCCACTTTTTATCTTTATTCCTTAAGGAAAGGGTACTTGTACCAATTTTGGTGTTCCTCTTCCTCTGCAGTGATATTCCTTAACCTTTTCTCTGAGTCTCCCCCAACAATGTCAGAGTACTCTGAGTTTCTGTTTGTTTGTTTTTTTCAGTTGGCTCTGTTCCTTTTCTTGTCCTGTGTTCATTAGTTGATTACCTTGGTTAGTTGTTTCCTCTTTAAAACTTCAGAATCAGAGGTTAAGGTGAAAACTTTTCCATCATGTTTGCTTTTAACCTTTTCCTCATGCTTATAAAATTTTAAAGTAATACTGAAGCATAGAAATATAAAGTAAAACATCCCTCTCCTGAGGTAACTAACCCCACCAACCATTTATTGCCCTACAGATCTTTTCCATGCCCTATTTAAACAAATACACTCACACTTACACATCCTGTTCTTTGTCTTTCTTTTCACATTTATATGATGGACTTCTTCCTGTGTCAGCATATGTAAATTTACCTTGTTCTCCTTAACAGCTACCTAGTATTCCATTTGATGGATTAATTATAATTTACTTATCCCTTATTAGTAAGCATTTGAGTTGTTGCTAGTTTTCTTTGTTATTATACCCAGTGCTACCGTAAGCATTGTAGCAATATATATTTGTCTACTTGTGTTAGTATTTCTATAAAATAGGTTCTTACAAGTAGAATTACTGAGTCTGAGGGTGTGCCTTCTAGTTTTTTGATAGGTACTACCAAGTCGTCCTCCAAAGAGATGTGAGCCAGTTTACATTCCTGTCAGCAGTGTATGAGCATGAATGCTTATTTTTGCACACCCTCAATTCTGAATTTTATCCATCTTTTCTGATAAATGAAAATAGTATCTTACCTTTCATTTTCATTGATTTTGAGATTGACATTTTAATCACTTATATGGAGATTTAAAAATACTGATTTTCTTTTCATTTAAACTTACTTTCAAATAGATTTTAATAGTCAATTTTTTATGGTAAGTGATCATTCTCAGCTACTAAATGGAAAAGAGTGATCAACATGGAGTACAAATATCACCTAAATAATTTCTAGTGAGAAAAATTACCTTCCATAACTCTTAAATTGGCAGTATTAGCTTATGTTTGAGTATATTCAATTCTCAAATAAAATTTAATGCCGTAAGGAAGGCTGTGATTCTCAACTTGATTAATGATTACTGTTAAACACGCTGATTATCCTAATTTTAAAGATTTAGTGAGAAAATGAAATACCTTTCATCAGAATGTACATATTTCCTATCAGGATGTTTTTACCAATTTAAATCTCCTTGAAGAAAGGAAATCTTAACTTTCTTTATCTTATTTATAATAAAGTATTATAATAAAGTATATAATAAAGTAGTAATCCATGTTGCTTGTGCTATTTCTCAAGTACTTAGAACAGTGCCTGGCTTATCACTTATGTCATGGCCTGTTCACGTAATTCTTACATTTGTGTCTCATAATAACTGAAATAGGTATAGGATTTATAGTGTCTCTTCATTTTGTACAGCTAAGTAGCCTGAGACTTGGGAAGTTTATTTTGCCTAATTTCAAATCGATAATAAGTAGATGATATGTTTTAAAACCCTGGTCCCTTAACTCCTATTCTAATACTTTTTCTACTCTCTCATGCTGCTGAGATTTCTTATTTAGAAATTCAGGAAAGGACTTTTGACTTTTTTTTGTTCTCTTTGTTACTCTTAGTAAAATTCTTAGTATCTCATTTACAGGGATACTGCTATCTCATCTGAAACATACCTAATTCATTTCTCCAGGGAAATTGGTTGCTTACCTACCATCGAATAATTCTAATTGCCCTTTTAAAAAAGGTATTCGCCTGCATTTAAAGCAAAGGAAAACTTGGGAAAGGTTTTTTAAATGTATGCTTTTGCTTTTAACTTTTTTAAAACAATCTTTATGCTGTTTCCATGAAATGTGGAACTACAGCCCCAACTTCTGTATTTTGAAACCGTTCTTATGAACTGGCTGATTAATTAAAGAGCTAGCTAATATTTAAATTTCTAAGCCTTCCTCATTAATTGCTATCATGTGTACAAAATACAGAATTGATTAAATCCATGCCTAGTTGGTCTCTTGTACTTCAGTAGTATTTCATTTTTAAATATATGAATCAGATGTAAACTTTATAAAATATATTTTAATATCTGATTTGTATGTGTGTGTATTTTTTAATAGGCAAGAAAACAGCATATCATTGGTGAAAGCTTATTGGAATGAACTTTTTACTCTTGGTCTTGCCCAGTGCTGGCAAGTAATGAATGTGGCAACTATATTAGCAACATTTGTCAATTGTCTTCACAGTAGCCTTCAACAAGGTAAAAAGCACTGTATTTATTTCCTTTTATGGGATATAAGAGGTGATGTCAGTTTTATAAAGAGTTAACTATTAAAGTTAGATATCTGATGATACTGTCTTAGATATCAACATCCTTTTTACTGTAGATAATTTTTACATTTTGATAATTCATTGATCACCCAAAAATATTTTTAAATGAGAACTCAACAAAATTGAAACAATATTTAAGTATATATAAGTCTGGCCGACTATTTCTGACCAGGCTTTGTGAATTTTTGTTCTTTGGTATAGAAACCAAAGAACAAAAGATAATCCAGGGTCATCTTATGTAGAATTGACCAAATATTTTAACATGTATTCTTCCAACCGATGTTTAAAGTACCTTTCTTCATTGTAATTCTTTGAATGCCAAGATAGGCTGATTTGTGGGGTCTGTTCATCGAGGTGTATTCTCATATTTTAAAAGTACTGAAGAGTCACAGAATAATCCTTAGTCTCTTTTTCCTTTTCTTGATGCCAAGGTAATTACAGCTCATTCATTTGAGGAGATAGGCAGTCACTGATTTATAAATGTTTAACTTCAGAATGGCATGTGACTAACCAAGAAGGTTCCCCATCCTCAAATAGAAACTCCCTTTTGAGTTCAGGAATAATTTATAAATTGGGAATTATATTTTATTTCTTTACTATATTCCATTTCCCATTGTTTTATATGATTTTTAAATTATCTACGGCTTCCTCCTATTTAAGGGCAGAGACATCACCTTAAAATCTCATCAACAATTGATCTACTAGAAAGCAGCACTAAATCTCCATTTTATTTGTGGACTCTTTGATTCATTTCTCATAAATTTGTAATGTACTATACAGTTTGCCTTCATTAAAGCAGTAGTTGACTAATCAGATACGTTTTAAACATATCCCTCCACAATAAATTCAAATATTTGTCATAAAAGCTTATTTTACCCAATTTTTCTTTGGTCTTGGCAGTGTTTTTTTGCTAAATATTTTTATGTTAGTAGTGCTGGTAATTTAAAAATCTAGATGATTCTGCTCATTTTTAAAAATCAGTATAAACTTAAAACTGTTAAAATTTGAATCTTTTGTACTTTGATTGACTAGTTTGTCTTTACAGGTTGTCTTCTCAAAGGTATATCTTGAAAGGAGGCACTTAGTTTCATTTATACTTGCAGAGATACTGAATTTTACATATATATAGATTTTATATTTAAAGCTAGAAATTAGTGAGATGGAAAATTGTTGGATAAAAATAGTCATACATTTTAGCTGAAAACTAGAAGCTTTTATTAGCTTGTTTGTTTGTTTTTAATTGAAGATAAAATGTCAACAGAAAGAAGAAAATTATTGATGGAGCATATCTTCAAACTACAGGAGTTTTGTAATAGCATGGTTAAACTCTGCATTGATGGATATGAATATGCCTACCTGAAGGCAATAGTACTCTTCAGTCCAGGTATGTAAATACTGACTTCTTTTTTAACATACAACTTTTGAGGGTGTGGAGAAATCGGAACCCTCATACATTGCTGGTGGAATATAAGATGGTGCAGTTAAAATGAAAGCAACCCAAGTGTTCATCAACAAATGAATGAATAAACAAAATGTAATATATGCATCCAATGGAATATCATTCTGCCATAAAAAGAAATTCTGATACATACTACAACATGGATGAACATTGAAAACGGTATGCTAAGTGAAAGAAGCCAGTCACAAAAGACCCCATATGATTCCATTTATATTGAATGTCTAGTATAGGCAAGTCTTACAGACAAAGTAGATTGATAAGTGGTTGCCAGAGACTAAGGAGAGGAGAGGATAGAGAGTGACTGATAATGGGTGCACAGTTCTTTTGGGGTGACAGAATGTTCTAGAATTTTAGATCGTGGTGATGATCGCACAACTTCGAATATACCAAAACCACTGAATTGTATAAATTGGTGAATTTTATGAATGTTAAGACATTTATCAAGGTATGAAAAGGAACTTCGAAGAAATCAGTGAAGTGACATCGTAGAGCTTTAGTTCTGTTGTCACATCGACATTTGAATTCTTAGGCATCATTGAAAGGCAGAATGAAAGATGAGTATTGTGTTAATGAGGTAAACGTCCAAACATCTTTTTAGAGTTACCAACAAATAGAGAAATGGGTCTCTTATTTTCCTGCCAGTTTCTAGGTTGCACATGTAGTAAGTACTAGTGAGCTCAGTGATCAGTTTCTGAATAAGAAAAATTGACTGTTCTCTTAGGCTCTGTATTTTTCATTTTGGTATATATTTCTATTCCAATGCATCATAATAAAATTATCTGAGGAAATCTGTCTTTTACCATTGATACCTATAAGATAATTAAAGCTTTTTTTGTACTGTTTCATATAATGTTTCACATAAGCTAATAATATGTTTCTCCATTTTTATCACAACCAATTTGCTATTTTCATTTTCCTTAAAATTGAAAGAACATAGATTTGAAGTTAGAGGTATAATGTAATTTTTTTGAATATTCCCAGTATTTTCTATTTATTACTTTTAATTCTCTTTGGTCAAGACAGCTTTCTATAGTTTTCAGTATTTAAGTTAGGCATAATTTTTATGAAGTGTTTTTGTTTTTTTTGTTTTTTTTGTTTTTTTACTATTTCCATTTTTGCGAAATTTTATAGTGACCATTGTAATGTTTATAGATAATTTTGTTTCTGTGTTGTAATTTTTCTGATAGGGATGATGTTCATAGTTTTATCATTTCATAAGTACCTTTTTACCTAACAATAGTGGGATTTTTTAAAAATAAAGCAGTATAGAATATAATCTACAAATATTTTATTGGGTTAAAAATGCCTTTTTAACTAAGCTATTTAATTTTTTATTCCTGTTGAAAGCAAAATGAGCAAAATCTCTTCTACCACTTTTGGAAGGAGAAAGCTATTCATTTTAGTAGAGCTCATTGGTTTCATTTTTTTTTTTTTTATCGTTAGAATACAAATAGGAGATCAAAGTTAGAATACAAATAGGAGATCAAATAGTTTTAAGGGTTTAAAGTACAGTGCCTGGTATTTAGTAATATTTGTAAAAAGAGCCACATATATGAGGAGACTTCATTTTTGACTGAACTGTTCTTCTCACCCTCTTTCATCTCCACTCTAGATGCCTTATTAGATGAACATTCAGAAGTAGGGTGACAATATATTCTTTAATGTTTCAGATCATCCAGGCCTCGAAAACATGGAACAGATTGAGAAATTTCAGGAAAAGGCTTATGTGGAATTTCAAGATTATATAACAAAAACATATCCAGATGACACTTACAGGTATCTAGAAGTTAAATATTGCTTAATTAAATTCATCTTAAAACTTTTTTGTGAATCTGTTATTTTTCATTTCAAGAGCAATTAAATGTTCTAGGCGACATTGACCTTTGAAATAATTAATGCTATTAAAAGCATTGTTACAAGTGGTTCACATGTAATATTTCATCCAGTTCTTATATTTTATATAGAGAAGAGGTTAAGTAACTTGCTTAAGGTCACACAATAAATGACAGTACCTGATTGTGAACCCAGAGAGTCTGACTATAGCACCCAAACTTTATTTTCTTCAGATGAAGTAATAGATTTTATTAATTAAAAGGCGGGGGGACTGAACAAAAATATACCATTAGCCTATTTTGAAATTTGGCTTATATTTCTACCAAGGTATTTCTTGCCTATGTCCTTTGGGAAAAATTTTTTTTTTAATAAGATTAATTCCATCTTCGAAGAGGGACAATTTTGTAGAGTAGTTAATTAAGCACATGGCCATCAGACCAGAGTACCTAGGTTTGACCATATACTTACTAGCTGTATGACCTTGGCAAGTTATTTAACTTCTATGTTTCAGTTTCTTAACTTGTAAAAGAGAGATAATAATAGTGTCTACACTTTACAATTAGTATAACAATTAAATCAGTCAATATATGTAAAGAAAGTACCTTTTACATAGTAAAAGCTATATAAATGTGTTTACTAACATTTATTTAACATACTTCAAACTAGTAAAAGAACATTTCACATAAAATGTTTTACATATATTAAATAATAGATTTATAAGCCAGTTCTATCATGAAAATCAGCCTTAGTTTGTGTAACCAGTTTTCTTACCCTGCTTCCTACCAGTTCTATGGATGCAGCTCACCTGGTGGGAACAAAAGGAACTGAATAATTTGAGGAGTAGAATACATGGCTATAGGAAGATCACTTAATCCTGGGGCTGCTTGCTGGTTTCATTTGGTCTCAAGTGTTGGAGTGCAAGGCCTTAGACTAGAGGAAGGATAAACATACCACAAGCTTTTTGGAAAGGTGGTTCTTTTGTTGTTGGTTTTGTTATGATTGTTTTTCAGTTTTTTGAAGTGTCTAATGTTGTTTTATACCTCATTATACAAATAAATACAGTATTTAAATTTTTTCTCCGTTAGACATACAACTGTTTGCTGACCTCTGCTCCATGAGGTTCCAGATGCTTTGAGTGATAGCTGGGATTCCTTCTCAGTTTCTTACATTCCTAGTTACTTAAAGATAATAATTATCTTTGGATAGCAGTTTTCAATTTATAATGTGCTTTCACACAAGATGTTACCTTGCCAAAGTTTAAGAACCTCACTAATACAGAAACTGGCAGAGATTATTTCGTTAATTTTCACAACACTGTGAGAGACGAGAATAAGTAGCTTATACACGTTCACATAGCTAGGGGGCGATAGAATCAAGATCTGAATCCAATGATCTCGTTTCCATCCATATTGTGCTTTTCCCAGTAATAACAACTATTGCCTGTTTTACCATTCTTAGTAGTTTTTTGTAAAGAAAAACTAAGAAAATGATTATAATTGAGCCTTGTGTGTCCTGATAACACAAAATATTGCTGTTCTTACAACCTCAGATGACCTCCTAAGCCATTTTTAAATGTGTAACTCAATCCACATTATAATAACTTAGCTCCATGGTCTGTGCAGCCAACTGGAGGCAGTGCAGTATAGCAGTTAGGAGCAAAGCTTTCCTATGAGTTCTGTCAGACTGCATTTATATCCAGTTAATTGTCATACACGTTAAGGCTTGAGAATACTAAGGTTTTTATTTTAACTTTATTAAAGTAGGCCACAAACAATATACATGTATAAATTACTCATATTTTTCTACTAAATCTTTTTGATTTATAACTTTGTTCCCCCTTCCCCTTTTTTTATTTTTAGATTGTCCAGACTGCTACTCAGATTGCCAGCTTTGAGGCTGATGAATGCTACCATCACTGAAGAACTGTTTTTCAAAGGTCTCATTGGCAATGTACGAATTGACAGTGTCATCCCACATATTTTAAAAATGGAACCTGCAGATTATAACTCACAAATAATTGGTCACAGCATTTGAAAGCCGAGAGCTCAGTGTAAACTTCTTGTTCTTTCTCAGAGTACAAGAAGACACCAAATTGAACTCTTTGCTTCCAGGGCGTCTGGAAATTTTAACTTTAAGGAATAACCAAAAACCAAGTTATTTTTATTTTAACTTCCTTAAGAATTTTCAAAGTGACTGGGCAGGTAGCAGGAATTAGAATTTCCCTTCCTGTCTTATTTAAGTGAATAAGAAATACTATGAATTTATTCTTGGTTAAGATGACACCTAACGCTGTCACCTCTTAACTATCTAAAGATCTCTCATATCTTACTTCATTTTGTAAAACAAATAAATTAGTCTTTTTTTCCAGAATTGTGTTTTATTCATGTTTAACTTTGTTATGAACTAGTTAGATGAACACTTAATCGTCAGAAATCTCTGAGGATGTCCTTGTATTTTACTCTTCTAAATATCTGTTTTAATTACTATGTCAAAGAAGATTATTTTATGCTCAGTGGTATAATGATAACATTAGAACCAGAGCAAATAATAATTGAGTATATATATTTTTTGTCTTTTGTAAATATCATGGCACCCTTAGCATATACCACTCTCATTGCTGGCAATGAGACATAGGTCATTTGTGATCTTAAGAGTTCACTTTTTAGTCTTATCTATTAGCTATAAGCACTTCTTATTTATATATGTAGCAGAAAATTGTTTTTGAGAATAAGATAGGGCTCATTTTAATAGTTTTGGTTTACTGCTATGTTTTAAAAGGAGTGGAGACTGAGCCCAAAATGTTTCAGTATTGCAAAATAGATATTAAAAGTTTGCTCTCCCATTCCACAAAAGCATCTGTCCTCGCCCTCTTTTCTGATCTGAATTATAGCTTCCTGATCCTTCCATGGTTTTAGCCACTTTCTTTCGCATCATTAGAAATACACAATTCGTTAAATAATGGATTTATCATAGCCAATCTTTGTTTTCAAGATGACTGAAATAATTTTTGAAAACAGTTGATAATTTTTAAAAAATAAGAAATTTTAATACATGGAGGAATATGCACCGATTTTTCACTTCAAAGAGGAAAGGTCTATTTTAACATGAGCATCAGCCTGAAGCCATGTTATTGCCACAACAAAAGCATTTTAGACTCCTTGGATGTCTTCCACAATAATGTTTTCCTTAGCAAACCTGATACTGTTAAATATTTCTTTGCTCTGATTTCATGATAAATTATTTTGATATGTCTATTTGTTGATTAAAAAAAAACAAATATCGAGATTTCATTGCACTCAGTACATTTTTTTATAAAGATTTTTGCAATAGAAGAGTTGAATTTTGGGGGAGCCTGTGGATTTTACTAATTACTACTTTATAGTAAAGTTTAATAAAAGTATTAACTTACAGTCTTTACCAAGTTATTAAGGAAACTTTTTTCCCTATTTAAAATATGATTTTTGTCAACAGGTTTATTTATAGTTATCAGCTGGGAAAAACTACATTTACAACAAAATACTCAAATGGAAAAATTGGTAGATTTATACCTTTATAAACAAAGAAATAAGCCAAAGACTTAGGAAAATAATTCTTTTTAAATAATGTACTAATGGTCAATTAAAACATATTTCTTTCAGGTACTTTTCCTGATTAAATTTGTAGTTATATTTGAAAGTGTTTTTAAAACCATATTAAAATGTGACCTGCATTACAAATTTCTGTTTCCTGAAAGTATATTGGATTTCAAATCCTGTTTGTTCAGTAGCCATCTTTTTGTTTGTTTGGTACGTTGTTAAGAAATCTCTAGTAAGATTTATTAAAGTACTTCCAGGAAGAGAGAACTGTGGAAAACATTTCTATAGCCAGTGTTTTAGCATTATTACAATTCAGTTTGAAGACTTCCAGCTAAATACTACAGATTGACTGTTAATTTATTCTCTTCTGAAATCTCAGTAAAATCCCAATAAAGCGTAACCACACAATAACAAAACAGAAGAGAAGAAATCAAAGGCTAAGAGAGTTTAATAAATTTTTGGAAAATAAAATGCAAATAGAGAAGGACAGACTTACCAGAGCCAGAATCAAAGAAGCCTGCAAAAGGCACTGCAGTGAGAAAGAAGACAGTTTACCTTGTGGTACCCAAAAAAGATGCTCAGTACCTGAAAGAACCAGGTGCTCATATTCAGAGATGGTTCTTGGGACATAAAAAAGAAAGGATTGGTTGCAAGTCTGTATACGGAACCACTGAACTTTCTTTACCTTAAATCAGGTGACCACATTTTATTTTTCCACCTTTTCAAGCAGGAGGCCAGGGATCGATTGTCTTGAGAAACTAGTTGGAAAGTCATAGGATTTACAGGCTATCAGGGATAACAGAAGGCTTGGATTAGATATAGGATTGAAAATATGGATTAAGTGAAAAATCTGCATTCTGAATGTTGGCTCCCTAACTGTGTTCCCAGAATGCTGGCCATCAAATGTAGGGTTCTCTGCTAGGATTTTTTTCTTCAGAGAAACTAATTTCCTCCAGAGCAAAGATCACCAGACACTCACTGATTGTGCCTAGATAATAAGCCTGACCACCACTTTATCACTTCAGTGAAGCTTACTAATTTCCAAGTAGTATATGTATACATGGAGTTTCCATTCAGCTTTTTAGTGCCTATATTAAATATGAGCTTACAGCCAGGATCATCAGACATTTGAGGAAACTCTCTAATACCTAAGAGATCAGACAGATATGCAGGGATCAGAAAAATATCTACCCCCAATGTAATTAATATATGGAAAGAAACGAGACATTGTGTTCATTAAATGAGAATAGGATGCTTTGAAAAGGAAAATTTGGAGCAAGGAACTGCCCCTGGAGATTAAAAATGATAGTCAAAGCAATTAGAAGGGTTGGAAGATAAAATTGTTGAGGAACTCACCCTGAAAGTGTAACAAAAGACAAAAAATAGAAAATAAGAAAATTATAGAATCAAATCAGTAGGTCTTAATAGAATTTAACAGTTATAGAAGACAAGGAGGGGGTGAGGGGAGAAAGGTAGATCGTTATAAGAAGGCAACAGGAGAGATCGTTGTAATAGGACTATTCAGAATCTTGACTGGTAACAACTTACAGGAACTTACATGTGATGTAATTGTATAGAAATAAATGCACACACAAATGAGTACAAGTAAAACAGGACGTCTGAATAAGATCAGTGGATTGGATTAGTGTCCGTATCCCGGTTGTGATGATATAGTTTGCAAAACGTTACACCATTAAGAGAAGCTGAGAAAAATATAAACAGGATCTTTCTCTGTATTTATAACTGCATGTAAATCTATAGCTATCAATTAAAAATTTTAAGGAAAAGAAACTTTAAGGAGGTAAGGAAATGATTGTCAGTGCTCATCAATGGCTGCCAAGATCACAAAAAGTGACAAGCAGACACGATGTGCTTCCTGATGTATATTGTCACCTATGAAATATACTTTACCCCCCATCCTCCAATCTGGTCAAGCACCTAGGTTTAATTGCTAATATACAGGAAATACAAGGGATAAAAGAACACAGGGACACAACAAAATCGAGACTGGAAAACTACAGGACAAACTGCCAGTTTCTTCAACATAAATTGGAAGGACAGAAAAAGGGGATGGAGAATGTGAGGAACCTATAGAGCTAAAGAAATTTAAATGAAAACCAACCAGTTACAATATATGGACCTTATTTGGAATAACTAAAAATAAGCAATAATTGGGGAAATTCGAATGCTCCTGAAGATACTGTTATTAACCTTTCAATGTGAGATAATGGGAATATAGTTATGGTTTTAAAGTTTTAAGAGTTCTTTTATAGAAATATTTCTGATGGAATTTTTTTAAATAGGCAAAAATGCATGAAAGACCATTCACGTTCAAATGTGACATGATTTTGAGCAGTTGATAGAGGAAGAAAATTTGATAATTTGGAAGTTTGTTGTGGAAGGTAGGTGGGTGTGAAGATTTAGTAACATAAAATTAAATCCTTTCTTTGGGTCTAGTCACATTACTTGATTTAATGTAAATCTTATAAATGCTGACCTTTTAAAAGAATGTGGTTGATTAAAGTTTGGAAGAGCAAAGGATGAGAAGTGAAGAAAGTGACATGTGCTGAATTTCTCATTTTAAATAGTTGGGAATAGAACGTTCCAAACTGGTGGGTCAAGGAATCTAGGTTTTAAAGCATATTATTTAAAATCATAAAATAGCCCCTAGAAAATTAATGTTCATTTAATATCCTTTAAACTTTTAACTATGCACATTACTTTTCTAATAATTTTAAATGTTTAATTTTTGAATTTTAACCTTGCAACTGAATCACTAAATCCTTAAGAGCAGATAAGCTTATATTTTTCTATTCCTCCTCGCTTCGCTACCTATACAACGCTACTATGTGTACTCAATATCATTATGTGCTCAATATTGAATTCCTTAATGACATCTTGGTTCCTAAAGAATTTGGCACTAGAAAAGATTTTTGAAGTAGTGTGAGCCAAACATTTGAGATACTTTCACCTGGGGAAGCCTGGGGAAGCCTAGTCTAGGTGAGTTTTACACCAAATGCTCCGTCCTGTAAACGCAAGCTCTGAGAACTGGTAAAAGTTTAACGCGCCTTTGCTTCCTAAGGAAACCAATCGCACGCGCCTTCGGCACTAGGAAGGTAGTCGCACAGGGCAGCACCAGTTCTGCGCACGCGTAGAACCACCTCGCGTATCGCGCGCATGCGCGAGGGGGAACCTTAGGAGATCGGCCGCCAGCAGCTGAGTGTTCGCTTCCTTCTGGTGCATTTTGAGCGGCGCACCCGGGAGGCCAGCCCTGCGGGACAAGATGGAGTTCCTGCAGGTGCTGAAGCGCGGCCTGCAGCAGGTCAGCGGCCATGGCGGCCTCAGAGGATATCTACGAGTTTTATTCAGGTAGGCAGCTAGAGCCATACTTTTGACCTCTGGGCTGGACTTGCGCTGGCTGGGTTCTTGGAAAGGAATGCGGGTTTGGATCACTTTGGATGAACTGCAGTTCTGGTCAAGGACAACCGGCCCAATCTCCGCTTTTCTTCCATCGGGCCGAAGTCTCTGTCCAGGGGTCTCCCAGAAACAGTTCCAAAGCCAGTTCGAGAGGCAGCGCTGTGACATCGAGGCAAGGACATCTAGGCTGCACCCCTATCCTGCTCCTAGAAAACAATTAGCATTGCCGAACACTCACTATGTGACCTTGGGAAAGTTTGTTTCCCTTCACTGGCCTTCAGGTTTCTCCTCTGTACAGTAAGGCGTTGAACGAGGTGCCCATAATGGCCCTTCCTAGTCCTGACGTTCGTTAAATGGGACGAGCAGTATCGTCCGCAGAAGCCGATTTAGAGACCCAGAGTCGAATGGAAGCCAGGACATTCATATCATGTTACGATGAAATAGTTTGGCTTCCTGATTTTCTGAAGGTTTTTGCTAACTCCAGTGCCTCATAACCTAGGGATAGTAGATAAAAAGTCTTGTAATTTGAAGATATTGTGTCTATATAGTTCATGTAATTTAAATATATCAGTTAGCTCAGTGTTCTGTTTTCTTGTGCTGTGTCTACATGGTACTGGAGCAACATGAGCAGCTTATTCTAGAGCTCTTACCTGAAAGGTGATTCTTCCACAGTGAGTGGTGTGAGCCTAGAGATGAAGGCTAGAAGGGTACAACTATTGACCATTCCCAAGCATCTCCTCATTGTTCTGATACAGCAGCCTTTGTTTCTGAAAGTTGGTATTCTCACTCTATTTACGTTTGTGTTTTGAACAAATAATAATTCTAAAATGTCTGCTTTCTTTTGGATATCGACAGGGCAAATGATGTGAGGGTTGGTACCTTAGTGGGGGAAGACAAATATGGAAATAAATACTATGAAGACAACAAGCAGTTTTTTGGTGAGTTCACTATTTTGGGATATGAATAACGGGAGTGAGATTGAGACTTGATTTGAATCTGTTTTCCATAATATACAAGAAGCTTTAAAGAATGTATAAACCTCCCTATACTTTTTTTTATTTCATGGGAATACGTTATGCATGTTGTTTGTAAACCAAAATATTTTTACTAAAAATCATGGTACAGTTTTTCATATGAGTAAATTGGATGTATCTATAGCATTCTTTTGGTTTGGTTATTGTGCTTTCATATTTGAATTTTTTTGATGGCATTCTTTTTAATAGCAACACAGTATTCCATTGTATGGAAGAATCATTTTTCAAACACTTCACTACTGATAGACATTTAGATTGCCTTCAGCTTTTTCCTATTAGAAACAACGCAGTGAATTTGCTTGTAACTATGTCCACGTTCATTTCTTTAAATATGCTAAGTTCTGGAAGTGGAATTGCTGAGTCTGAGTATGTGTATTTAAAATT